TTAATAAGCAGTACTAAGTAACTAACCACAGCTTACTGTCTTTCACTATTCACAACTTGACAGCTCAATACTGTCACAGACATTCACAAAGGCTAACACAAAACTTGAAACCAGTTCTCAACAGATCAATCCCAAGTCACTTCAGAAAAGAGTACGAAAATCACAAAGAAACAGAACTACGAACTTCGAAGTTTTTTTTTTCTTTTTTTCTTTTTATTATTATTAACAGGTCCTTATGGCCCTGGCTCCATTTCCATTCTGGGGAGCGTCAGTCCGGTTCCTATTCCACCGGCAAGTCAAAACAATAATACAGCATGAGCAATTCACACACGCTTCCTTCCGTACGGCCGAAGGACCCCTGACCAGCATTGATTACTCCATGTATATGGAGGATTGACTGTCAGCTTGCCCCGCTAAACCCTTTCCTTTCAGGCCCACTGAAGGAACCTGTCAGTTACAAACGAGAAACCAGGAAAGGCCCTTAGCAGCAACGACCACTCCCACTCCTCAGCCTCCCAAAAAAAGACCGCCTATTGTCTACCAAGCTGCCTTAACCCTATTTACATCACTTAAAAGTAGGCCTCGCCTGTGCTACCTTGAACCGGCTGGCTAAAACCCTTAAACCCTAAACCCTTGAGTCGCTACCGGCTGGCTAACCCCTTTAACCCTAGCCCTTCCCCTATTCGTTTAAGTGGTATACCTTCTCTACTAGCCTTCCATTGACAGCAACCTGTAAACTGTGGTCCATAGCCACTTATGTCTCCTCACTTCCATATCCACAACTTATATGGTACCTATCCTTCCGTTAATGAAGAATACCGTCTGTTCCGTCCTGAACCCGGGTATGTGGTAAGTCTATATTCTCGTCAGCTTACCCTATCCTGGCCTTAGATTTCAGTTTTGCCCCACCTCTTGCATCCTCAACCTTTGGTCCTTGACCTTCGTGTTTCGTTATGGATTCCTGTCTCTCTATGTATCCTTAGGCCCTTCTGATTGCTTGTCCTGTCTGAGATAGTCTTCACAGCATCTGGGTTTGAGTGAAGTCTCCTCCTCCTAGCCCCCACTTCAGAAGTCGCTTAACCATGTCTTTGTTCTCGTACCTGATGCCTGGTACCTGATGTGGCCCCTTTCTCCCTGCAGCTCATCAGCCCATCCGCTGCAGGTGTGGTCTGGGGCCTCCGGCCTGAATTGTGCCAGTCTTTCCAGCACACTCGGTCATTACGTAACTCGGCCACCTTGCCATTCACCAGTCACTGTCTGGTAAACTTCTTCCAAACCTTTTCTTGCTGGTCCTCCTCCTCAGGCATCGACAGCCTTAACCTCTGCCATCTGCAGAGAATTTCAGCCTGTAGCATAGATCTTGTCTCCGCCCATACCTTCTCTCTTGGGTTGGACAGTCCTTCGATAGTCCTGGAGCATCTTTCCTTCCAAATGATCCATGGAGTCACTTTCCTGATCAGTCCGAACCACAACCTCTCTGTCTTCTGAAGATGATCGGGGATGTTAGTCCAGAGGAGGATTTGGATGGGGTGCTCGGGGAAGGGGACATGGAATAGGGAATCCCAGAGGGCTGAGGCCCGTGCCCAGTAATCTGTAGCCTCACACTGGATTAGGCAGTGAACTATGTCTTCTTGAGCGCCTTCTGTACAGATTATGCATAGGTCCGAACTGGTGGGATCGTTTTTTTGACGTCTTATATGTAGCCATTGATTCACAGGCAGTGCCACGTACGTAATGAGCCACTGGAGGCTCCTGATTTTTTTTATTTTATTTTTTAATTTGGACCATTTCTCGATTTATGTGTGTCATCCTTGCGCAGGGGCCATGCTAATCTTCTCTGTATCGTTCCAATTTTAACGGATGTCCCGAAGGACAGAGGCTCCTGATATTTATGGGTCTGATAGTCTTAAATTTCTTCCACGGGATCTGTGTAATTTTATCGGCTTCCTGACCTACTAGTTTCTGCCATCTGTTTTTGATTATAGGATCTGGGTCTTTTGTTTTAACTAGGAGTTTGTAGCCGACTTTAACTGTATAGTCGTATATGGGGACCTTGGACTTGACATTCCTCTCCCTGTCCGGTGCCCAGGCCCATTCTGCTGGGTCGAATTCCAGGTTCTGGACTGACGTGTCTGGTCTGAAGATTGATTTAGGCCACAACCCTAGTACTCTTACCTTCCTAAGTAGAAAGAAGTCCATGACTACCGATTCCACCTCTCTGTTTCATATAGATGCTATTCCATGTTTAGAAGGGGAAATCGGGAAGGAGGAGAAGAACCCGGTTGCATGTGGGAGAATTGGAAGGCTCGTGAGGGAGGGGACTCTTGTACCTTAACCCCCCACTCTCCAGATTTCCATGGCGACGCTTCACACAAGATATCTTTCCAGTCTTGAGGAATGAGGTTAATAATGTATTGGAGGTTAGAACCTCGCCTATGACATCCCTTCAACTGCGTGCTCAGCTCCTGTTCGGTTACCCACTCTTTCCTTTCTTCACTCCATAGGTGACTTACTTTCCATACCCCATTCTTGACCCATGATAGCCATCTGTGATCTAAATGCAGGGGATTATCGCCTTTGTCTGTAACCCATTGGTTGCCGAACAGCAGTTGTCTCAGAACCTCGTCTTTGGACCTTGGTCTATTAGTCTTCTTTGGCAGAATTTCTCTCCATATCTGAATCAGAGCTGTCTAGTATGGGGTGGGACGAGTGGCTTCATCAGCTCTAGTTCCTCTTCTTGGTTTTCTCCGCCCTGTCTTGGGGCTCCATTCCTTGGTCATTACCCAGAACAGACCTGTCATGTTCTCTGGTGAGGCCACTGGCGCCAACGCTC